CTCACAGCACCCGGTTTGTACCTGTAGCGTCACGACGGGAGGCGGGGGGTAACCCCCCCGAAGGGGGACCCCCCACTGGGGTGACCGTGACGGGGGGGAGGGGGGGGCGGGGGGCAGCCAACATGACCATCGATAACATGTGCAGTTTATTATTTTGAAATAAAAATTCTCCTGTAGTTATAAAAACAGAAAACATTTTTTAAGCGTAGCTTGAGGCTAAAACTATGCTAATGTGGTCTTTAGGACAACTGAATCTTCTCATGCTCTCTGGTCACTTACTCAATTCCAATGACAAGCGTGCCCTAGTGTCGACTTTGTTTCACCAATTTTGTCAAATTTTTTGGTCTTTTTAGTTACACTATTCTGGTAATGAGTATTTGCGAGCTGATATTAATAACTTTATTGGGAAAGAAGTAGCAATTAAAGGAAAAGAATAAGAAAAGTTAAAAAAAAAAAGGCTTCCTCTCAATTACTAATAACTCGATGTCGAAAACATTACAAAACAATTTTATTGGTAGTATGAGATAGATGACCCTTAAGCAGTTGGCAGGTTTTCCAGGATGACAGTGGATAGCTTCACTGAGGATTCTATATGTTCTGGCGTGGGAGGGGGGGGACGCAACACCAGGAACAAACACCAGCCACCTAGTGACTCCACCACAACAGAAGAAAGCGCTGCTTGGTTCTGTGACATCCCCACCATGGTGCTGTTTGCCAGCCCAGGGTTGCAGCCACTGTGCCAACCCAGCTCTTGAAGTCTTCCTCCTTTTCCCCTGGGCCCGTGCTTTATGGTACAATAGCCTTCTTCAGGGCCTGGGCCCTCCTGATCATTTGTACCTGGAATGAAGTCTCTCCATCCTCCCTTCAAATAGGGCTGACAGCATGAAAAGTCAATGGAGGAGTCCACTTCTAGTGAAGCACTGCCCTTGCAAGGGCAGGTGGCACCTCGGTGGAACACTTGTAAGTCCTGTGGGAATGAGGCACCCCTGTTAAGAGCGTCAAAAGAAAAAGCCACACACTGTTGCACAAGACTCCTTAAAAGTATTTCCCTGAGCATATTCGAGAATTATTTTCTTTCATTATTACCTTACACATCATTATTTGCAGAGCCAAACCTGTTTCAACCTAGTGTAAGCTTAGTACAGACAAAAGAGCTCTAAGAAAACGGAAGCGAGTGCAAGTTTACCTAGAATTAATCGCTTAATGTAGGAGGGTAAGTCAAAACGTATTACAACTAGAGGTCCCCGTGCTACATGCACAGGTTTATTCCAAACAGGATGTGTTGAATGAGGTCTCTGTCTGGCTAGGGTGCCTTCAAAGAAAAGATCCCATCAAAAAAACACTTCCAAGGAGATGTGTGGGCCCAGTTCACTTCAAGGCAGAAAGGTCAGCTCAGAAAATAAGGACACACTATATTTTGGGATTCCCAAGGGATAATCCTGGCAGATTATCTTGAAGAACAAAGGGTGGCTGCAAAACCAAACCAAACTCATTGCCATTGAGCGGACTCATAGCGACCCTGTAGGGCAGAGTCGAACTGCCCTTGTGAGTTTCTTCTTTTTTAAAAAAATCATTTTATTAGGGGCACATACAACTCTTATCACAATCCATACATACATCAATTGTGTAAAGCACATTTGTACATTCATTGCCCTCATCATTCTCAAAACATTTGCTCTCCACTTAAGCCCATGGCATCAGCTCCTCATTTTTCCCCCTCCATCCCCGCTCTCCCCTCCCTCATGAACCCTTGATAATTTATAAATTATTATTTTGTCATATCTTACACTGTCTGACGTCTCCCTTCACCCACTTTTCTGTTGTCCGTCCCCCAGGGAGGAGGTCACATGTAGATCCTTGTAATCGGTTCCCCCTTGCCAACCACTCTCCCTCTACACTCCCAGTATCGTCACTCACACCACTGGTCCTGAAGGGATCATCCGCCCTAGATTCCCTGTGTTTCCAGTTCCTATCTGTACCAGCGTACATCCTCTGGTCTAGCCAGATTTGTAAGGTAGAATTGGGATCATGATAGTGGGGGGTGGGGGGGAAGCATTTAGGAACTAAAGGAAAGTTGTATATTTCATCATTGCTACATCACACCCTGACTGGCTCATCTCCTCCCCGAGACCCTACTGTAAGGGGATGTCCAATTGCCTACAGATGGGTTTGGAGTCTCTACTCCGCACTCCCCCTCATTCATAATGATATGATTTTTTGTTCTGATGATGGCTGATACCTGATCCCTTCAACACCTCATGATCACACAGGCTGGTGTGCTTCCATGTGGGCTTTGTTGCTTCTGAGCTAGATGGCCGCTTGTTTACCTTCAAGCCTTTAAGACCCCAGATGCTGTATCTTTTGATAGCCGGGCACCCTCAGCTTGCCCCTGTGAGTTTCTAAGACTAACTTTGTGGGAGTAGAAAGCCGCCTCTGATGTTTCACACCGCTGCCCTTGCAGTTAGCAGTCCAATGTGTAACCACTACGCCACCGAGGTTCCTCCAGGAGAACACAGGGGCTTATTATGAGGACATTTTCAGACAATTGAAGATGGCACTGGTGAGAAATGGGGCCAAGAAAGACTTTGCCAAGGAATTCCCCGCCCTCCTCCCCCATCATGACAATACACCTGCTCATTTTCTGAGGGTAGCAAGGACTATTCTATGAAAAATTTCTTGGGAGACTTATCCTTTCCACAATACAGTCCTAATCTTGCCCCTTCAGAATTCTTTTTGTTCCCAAATTCAAAGAACATTTAAAAGGAACACAATTTGAGTTCCTTTGAACTCAATTATTTGAGAAAGGATTCAAGAGATGGAAATGCTACCTTTGATATGTCTAGAAATACTAGTTCAATATTTTATATTTTGCTTCTAGGTTTTATAGCCATGTATATTTTTAATTTACTTCCATATAATAGCATTTTCCCTTTCCACGTATTAATATACTAAGTGTATCTTTTCAAAGCTGTCCATACTGAGACAGTTAGTGAAATCTTTATTTTCTTAATCTCTAGCACTATTACCAAATAATCTTTAGAACTGAAACAAACCTAAAACCCCACACTGCCAGCAAGTCAATTCCAGCTCATCAAGATCCTGTCATAGGCCTTCCAAAGCTGTAAATCTTTCCTGGAGCAGATGGCCTCCGGGCCGGGGTACCACAAAACGAGAGAACGTTACGTACAATACAGCAACTAAATTAGGATGTAAAGTCAAAGTGAGCAAATGCTTTCAATTCAAATATTTCTGGTGATGTTACATTTTAAAAGAGGAAAAGTAGCCCAGTTAACGATGACATTAAAGACAATCAGCTACTGACCCCTCTTCAACGAAAATGTAGGAACATTATATATGGAGGAAAAAACCTTGAGATTTGAACCTCAGAGGAATGCACAATTAAGTTGCTGAACACTGCCTGAAAGAAAAAAAAAAGAGGATGGAACCCACATAAGGAAATTAAGAGGCTTAGTGAGCTTTCAACTGGCCAATAATGATCCATCAGCCCCTCTCCCAGCAAAGAACCATTCCTAGTTCCTAGAGCAGCCAATCATGAGAGAGGTGGGCCAACCCCCTTGCTCCCCACACCCACCAGGTGAATGGAGGACTATCTAGTCCAACCAGAGGACGATTGCCCCTCCACACGCCTGGAGTAGTGGATGTGCTCTGAAAGTGAGGCGGATGGTCCAGGGAACCTCTGCAAAGTACAGGGGGCAAGTGCAAAGGAGGCTGAATCACACTAGGTTTTTCTCCACAGTACCCTGGGACCCAGAGGGGATATAGGCCCATGGGCTCACACTTAGAAGCATAGAGCCTGAGGCTGAGATCTAACTCTTGGCCGCAGCTCCAGCACAGGGCTAGCCGTGGCTCCTAAGGGCAGCAGTAGCCTGAGACTAGAGCAACTAAGCCATGGGAAAGCAGGCTGCCCTACCTCCACCCCTTTGTGGGTTCTCTCCTCCCCTTCGTCCTCCTCCTCTTTCCTCTCTCCCTTCTTCTCTCTCTCCCTCCCTCTCTTGCTCACGGTCACTGCTCTCTCCTCCAGACTTTTGGCTTGGTCACACAGACACCAGGGGGTGGAACCATCCCTGGTGTCCACAAGCCCTCATGACCATGGAGGTTAGCCTCAGGAAGAGGATCTGGAGAACAGACAGCAGCCAGTTCTGGTTTGATATTTTTGTGTTTGCCCTCCCCGTCCCCCTATTCTTTTGATGTTCGGATAAACCACAAGTAGAGAGATAGATACAGGACAAAAGGGGCAGAGGCATCCCTAACTCAACACAAACCTCGACGAGAGAGGTCACAAAA